ACTCTTCTGCTGAAAGGGGTCTTCAGAGCTTTTCTTGGACTCTGAATCTCCACCCATCTAGCACAAGATGCAGTATTTTAATGCTCCCTGCCCAAGAGTTTCTACTCCAGGCTTAGCAATTAAGTGAAGGTAAAAACGCATCCTTTAAGCCTCAGAAGGTAAGCATAGTGTGGAAACAAATCACAGGCATCAGATCAGTTCCATGACACAATGTAATTAGACGAGTGTAAAGAAGAGATATTGTCTCTGTCCTCTCTCTACCTGATCTCTTACCTGGTACTCCTGGACAACCTCCTCCAAGAGGAATGTGGAGTGTCCACGGTGCTCCTGAGAACGCTCACAAAGCCAGCAAATGACCGTCTTGTCCTCATTACAGAAGAGTAGGAGTTTCTCTCCATGGCGTGCACAGTGATACACCTTCTGCTCCTCCTCTGGGTTCAGCTTGACACCCCTGAGCCTCTCCACTATGTTGGCCAATTGCCGATTAGGCCGCAGGTTCTCAAACTGGTAACTGATTTGGCACACAGGGCAGCTGCTCTCCCCTTTTTGACTCATCATGGACTCATAATTTGAAGTGATGCAGGCCTGGCAGAAGCTGTGGCCACAGTCAAGGCTCAGAGGTTTTGTCGGGAGATCCAGGCAGATGGGGCAGGTCACCTCCTCCTTTACATTCCCCAGGATTGCTGAAGCCATAGCATCTATTTTCCTGCTCCTGCCTGTCCTGACTTCTGAGATTCCTCCTGCTCAGATTCCTACATGATTGGAAGATTAAAAGTGAACAGAGTAAGAAAGGTTGAAATAGAATGGATACTGACGATGTAGAAATAATGTAACAGGTGTTCACTTGATGCTTCCACTATGTCCCTTATGGCTTTGAAATGTCCATTTTTTCCCTCCTCTTTTTCCCAATCTTCTTTTCCCGAAACTTCTCCTCTTTGATCTTCTTTTCCCTAACCTTCTTCTTTCTGATTTTATTCCTGTTTTTCTCTGATACTTTTTCTTAAACTTCTCCTTCCTAATCTCATTTTCTGTTGAAGTGGCACCCCTTTTCTCCACAGAAAAGCCCTCTTCACCATGGCTGATTTTAAGACTGTCAGCAAAAGAGTCTCTGTGAAAGAGTCCATTGTAGATAAACTTCCTATTTTCATGTCACCCTGTTTACTTGGCCACTGGCCAAGAAGATACCAGCACTCTAGGTGCTGGACACCCCTTACTAATTTTTCACAAACATATCCAGTATAGCACTTTGAAGAAATGTGCAAACAAGGCCTCTGTCCTTGAGCTGGGCTTCTCAGAGATGTCTACATTTTTAAGATAAGTTAGAAATGGGCCCATGGTAACAGCTGGCAGGGGGAAGAAAGAAAGGGGAGAAGAAGCTCTCCCCTTCTCAGGGGTTGTCCCA